GATTCCCCTAAATCAATTAATCACCTATCAACTATATTATATGCACTCTCAGCAGCCTAGCTTGTCTGGCATCCCCATCTCCCCTCTTTATTACATATATATTATTTAATTCCCACAACAACTGTGGAATTGTTGTTGTTGAGTCATTTTCAGTTTTGTCTGATTCTTCATGACCCCTCTGGGGTTTTCTTGGCAGAGACAGTGGAAGTGGTTTGCCATTTCCTTCTCCAGCTCATTTTACAGATGAAGAAACTGAGGAAAGCAGATACTTGCCTAGGGTCACTCAGATAGTAAGTGTTTGAAGCCAGATTTGAACTTAGGAAGATGAGTCTTCCTGACTCCAGGCCCAGCACTATCCACTGCACCATCTAGCTCTCCCAACTGTGGAATAGGTACCATGATTAAAATTATCATCTCCATTTTATAGACGGGGACAATGAGGTTCTGAAAGTGTAAGTAACTTGTCTAAAGTCACATAGCTAGCAAAAGCTAGAGGTGAGAACAGAGTCTAGAGGTGAGAACAGAAGCCCTATCTACTACATCATATTACCTATCATTACACAGAGAAGACTTAAGAAATGATCGTTCAATTAAAGTGAGCAGTTCTCCAGATGGTAGAATGAGGAGACACTGGTGGAAATTTTAGAGGAATTTGAAAGAAGCAGATTTCATCTTTAGTTAAGGTAAAAACTGCTAAGAATGAGAAGTCTCCAAGTAGAATGGGCCCGGGAAGACTCAGATCACTTGATGAGGATTTCTGTTTAATCACCAGTTGCACCAGATAATCCTTGGGTCCCTTCCAACTCTCTGAGTCTGTTTTCAGAGGCGCTCAAGGTACGTGATACACTATCTTTCAGGGGTATTTATATCCTAAGAAAGAACTTCTTGAGATGAAATGAAAATTGAAAAGACTCACTCTCTAATTGTGGTGTAGACAGGCTATTCTTGTGCCCCACAAATTAAACAATGAAAATTATCATTTACTTGGCTTACCTATAATGACTGTTAACTTATTATAATAGATTGCAGAGCCCTTACTGGTCAAGTATATTATTGTAATAATCATTATTTATATTATATATTTATATTATATTACAATACAATAATCTTTTTGGTAGAATAGAAACCTGGTTATAGGAAAAGCATCATCTGATTGATAATAAAGCCTAATTAATTCCCAGTTCAGTAAAATGCCTGATCAGTTTACTATGTGAAGATCTCTCTATTCCCACTGAGTTTTTGAAAGTATATTAGCTTTCTATTCTCTGAAAGGGCTAAGTATAAGTTTATTTCTTCTTTGTCCTTTAAAAAAAGGTCTCAATACTTTTTTTTTTTAGGGGAAATGTGATGCAGATCAGCATCTTCTCTCAAATTTTCACCATAGAGTTGCCTGGGACACTAAAAGTTTTAGTGACTCACCCACCATCTATTAGACATAGACAATAGGGGTCAGAGGTAGGGAATCAGATCAGAAATCTAGAGCTGAAAGGGATGAACCTTAAAGATGTTAAGTGGCTTGCCCAAAGTAATATAAGCATCAGAGTTGGAATTTGAATCCAGGTCTTCTGATTCCAAAGCCAGTGCCCTTCCTACTATACCACTTGAACCCAGGCATTCCTGGTTCTCCAGGTTCTCTACCTACTAAATCACACTGCTCCTCACTCTATAGTATAACTAAATCTTTCAACTGGCTAGCATCTACTGATTGGCTGTTAAAGACAAGCAGATTAGTAATGAAGTTTGTGTTGACACCTCTGTTCTTAACCTACAGGTCTATTTAGCCAATCATTTTCCTAAATGGGAAGAAGTGAAAAAATGTTGGGCCTGGTAAAATAGCAAATTGCTCTCATTATACATACTTCTTTTCTGAAAATTAACTTTGAATCCTTGTTCTACATACTGGAAATCCCTAATTAAGAGAAATAAATAATTCATTGGCTTGAGAACATTAGTATTAAAAAATGTTCTGATTGTTGACAGATATTATTTAAAGACTTTAGCCACTGGCAAGTTAGTTCAATTTCTAATTTTGAACCAGATCTCACATCAAGTCAGAGAAATGCTAAATTTTGTTGTTGATATTAAAATTTTAGATACTGTGAAGCAATTCTAATGGAGACATTATTTTTGTTGGATGAGTTCTAATTTCATCTTCAAGTTAGAGTACTAGCCAGAAATCACAAAACAAAAAGCAGATAGCTAATTTTAAAAAGGGGGAAAGGTCTTAATGGTTTTGTCTGAAGAGAAATAAGCCTTTGACTATGCTGACAGAGGGAAAACACGTTAATTCTCTTTATTCTATCAAACACATACATTTTTACTCCTGGTTTATTGCTATTAATTTTTTCTTTTCTTAATTTCATTTTTAATTTATGGGGAAAAACCATTTTCATAACATAGTAAAATAAGAAACCAATTGTACATTATTGATCAGAAAAATGCAAATTAAAACCACTCTGAGGTACCACCTCAGACCTATAGCTAATACGACAAAAAAGGAAAATGCCAGATGTTGGAGGTGATGTGGGAAAACTGGGATGCTAATATTCAGTGGGTGGAGTTTTGAAGTGATCCAACCATTCTGGAGAGCAATTTGGAACTATGCCCAGCGGGCTATAAAACTGTGCATACCCTTTGATCCAGCAATACCACTGCTAGGTCTATATTCCAAAGACATCCAAAAAAAATGGAAAAGGACCTATTTGTACAAAAATATTTATAGCAGATCTTTTTGTGGTGGCTAAGATTTGGAAATCAAAGGGTGCCCATCAATTGGGGAACGGCTAAACAAGCTTGGTATATAATTGTAATGGAATATTATTGTGCTATAAGAAATGACAAATAGGATGATTTCAGAAAAACCTGGAAAGACTTAAATGAAATGATGCATAGTGAAATGAACAGAATCAGCTGAACACTGTACACTGTAACAGCAATATTGTTCAATGAAGAACTGTGAATGACTAACTATTCTCAGCAATACGATGATCCAAGACAATCCCAAAGGACTAATAATGAAACTCCAGAGAAAGAACTGATATTGATTGAATACAGACCGAAGAATACTATTTTTCACTTTTTTTCTTTAATTTTTTTTCTTTTTAGTCTTCTTGTACAAAATGACTAATATGGAAATGTTTTACATAATTGCACATGTATAACTTATATCTGATTGCTTACCATCTCAGGAAAGGGGAGAGGGAAGGGAGGGAGGGAGAGACAGAACTTGGAACTCAAAACTTTAAATAAAAATGTTAAAAAACAATTGGAAAAAAATGTAACAGAAATATTTAACAGAAAATAAGAATAAAATACAAAAATAACTAATTTTTAAAAAGATGATTGTACATAAAACTGCAAATTCACTATGCACAATGTGCTATTCCTTTCAAATATACAAAACTATCATGCAAATTTTTTCTTTTTTTTCTTCCCACCTCCCTTCCTCCCCTAGAGATGGCTACCATGAGACACAAATAGGTATATGTATATATGTATATATAATAATATATATAAATAATATACCAATACAAATAAAATTATATATATGTACATATGTTATATATGTAAAAATTCCTCTATTCTTCACTTTACTAGAGTAGAAACAAAAAAGGCCTAGACACTTTTTCTTTTTAAGAGGTCAGTTTTCTTTTTCCTAATTTTGCTACTAGTCCGTGTTAATCATAAGATTGTCAGAAACATGTCGAATAAAGAATAACCTAAAGGGATTGTTAATATTCTCAAACAAAAAGTATGAACTTTTGAGCCCCATATCCATTACTACATTTCCTCCATGAAGATCATGTTATTCCTTCAACATTTTCATACAGAGCAATAAACTGACTTAGATGAAAGGGAAAGATTATCAATACTGTATACATAATTTTAGTAGAAAGATGAGTCATAAATGAAAATTGTATAACGGCATTTCAGTGCAGAATTTATCATTCTCACTTTATACCAGTTGGAGAATAATAAATAATCATGGCTAAAATATTATTAGTTTAAAAAAAAACTTCAGAATTCTAGGTAGGTGAAAGGCTCCTTGGGAAAGAAAAAAAAACTTAAAAATTACATATGAAGAAATATCATATCAGTCTTTCCTGAGACTAACATGGAGATTAACATGTTGTATTTCTACAACAGACTTCTTAACTTTATATATGCATCTTTAAGCTTAGTATTCACTGAAGCTTACACTTGGCAGGAAACTTAAGTATGTGACTTCATACTGACACAACCAGTCAACAAAAGAGAATTACAGAGTTCACATAGTTTCTTTAAATGATATCTCCATGCTAAATATTATTTTAAAATATCACAAATGTTTACAATGTGCAATATTGAACTATGAAAATCACTTAACGGATCTTTGGTTATGTTCCTATAGCAACTCTTTAAAATAGTTTTAATTTTATTACAAATAAATTCTAAATTAATCCTTTTTAAAATTAAAAAAGGTTGTTAATGATCAAAATGTAGAACATTCAAGGTAAAAAAAAATTCATTAAAAAAGAAGATAATAAGAACTAATACTATAAAATATATATAACATAGATATATATAAAATATATATAAAATCATCAATTTTCATAAAAATTGCACTTGCCAAGTATGGTTTTTACTTACAGATATCTTTGTATGCATCTTACTTTTTTTTTTAAAATGTAAGCTCTTAGAGTGCTAGGTTCATATATTTTTCTGTACTACTTGTCACTGATAATTATTAACAAAATTTTGAAACAATAAGTTAGAGATCTTTTATTATTAGAATTGCACATATATTTGCAAATGATTCACTGAAGAATGGCTTAACAGATTGAGTTTGGACATATCTGTTCAGCTCCTAAATTCCAAGTTTATTTCTGGGATAATAATTAATCAGGTTCATTTTGGAGAAACTACCAAAATGCCAACATAATACCAAAATAACAATGAAAGCTACAAAATACTGATACACATGCATTAATTAATAATTAATTAGTATTCATCTCACATACCTTATCTGCAAAATTTCTGATTTCTCTGAATTTTCTATGGACAGAATAAAAAGGTTAATAAACCAAGTGAGTGAGTACTGGTACATAGGTTCAATGTTAGCTAAATCTGCTATTGAGAAAAACAGGACTGACGAATGAATGGCGATTGGACGGTATTCCATTCGGGTGTCATCAATCTTTCTCTCTGTGTCTTCAGCTACTGCCTGTTTCTCAGAAATCTCATTAGCTAAAGCCTTCGAGGAAGATAATATCTTAATAGCAGTTTCGTCTTCTAATATATTGCCTTCTGAAGATGAAAGAACTTCTAAAATCTTGTCTTCTATTTCTTTTAACTGCCTAAAATAAAATGCAGGGATTTCATTGAAGGAAAAAAATACTTTACATATATACTCTTAAAAAATATACATTCTTTTGTAACAAAGTATGTAGTTTGTCTCGTAAAGATTGATGTTACATTCTTACATCCACTTATCTTGAAAAATATAACAAAGACAAGCTATTCCACTCCATATAGAGATAATTTAAATAATAACTGGAATGATAATGATGATGATGACAACTCACATTGGTATATTACTTTATAGTTTGTAAAAAGTATTTTCCTCTCATCATTCCTGTGAGTTAGGCAGGAATAAATTTATTGGCACAGTCTTATTGAGGAGGAAAATGAAGCTCAATGAGGTTAAGGGACCTGCTCCTAGATACACAGCTGGTCCTATTTGTGACACCACACCCTGTGCTCTTTCCATCGCACCATGCTGCTAAGTCAGAAATCCTAATCTTATTACCCATATTAAAGGTTCTGAACACAAAGTAGACAAATCATATAGCTCCATTTGCTTCCCTTATATTTTATTTGATGGTCTAACAAACAATTGTATATTCTAAAATCTGTGGCATGGCTGTGTGGGGGCAAAATAGTCTGAATTAAAATATTAATTTCTTACATAGAGTGAAATTAAATAATTTTAGATAAGTTCTAAATTGTGGAAATCAAATTTGTGTGATGAATAATTAAACTTCTGCACTAACGAATATTATTGTATCTGAAAATACACTTGTCTTGAAATTTGGGCAACTCTTTCTAATCATTCATATAAAAGAACTGACATGTAAACTATTTTTTACAACACAATTTTTAAATGATTATTATAAAATCAGAGATACTCTAATAAGTCATTTCCACTTAGAATTTCATGTGCAATTTAAAAGAAGAGATCTTATCTTCAATGTATATTTTAATAAACTTTAACTTTACATTATAAGATAAGCAAATTTCATAGTCAGCAAAATGTGAAACCTTTTGTTTTCAGCGCCTTGTAATATCAAGGCTTGCTTTTCTTCTTCAAGATCTGGTCTCTCTCGTGCTACTACAATTCCAAGAAGCTGATCTTGCATTCCTTCAGGAGTTATCATAAAGTTCAGTAATGTGACCTATAAATGAAAGTTTTTACAAAAACACCACCATTAGGCTTCCTTTCAATAAAAACTATATTCTCTATTGACCAAATCCCTTCATAAAACACTTTTAAGATCTTTCCCAAAGCATATTTCATTTAGCCTAGAAATTTATGTAAGGATGGGTCTTTAAAATTATTTTTAGGAATTGGAATTATAGGGGACATGACCATATTTTAAAAAACTTATGTCATTTCCAATGAGATAGTATAAAGATGGTCTAACATATCCTTGTTTAAAAACTAGTAATTGCTGACAACTCTTCCAATGATTGAAGCAAAAGAATTAGATTGGGAATATTTCCTCGTAATTAAATATATTAGGTAATTCTTATTTTAAGGCTATTATAAGTAATAAGAGGCAAGAGAATGACAAGAGAAAGCACCGATGGTAGGTTTTTTTTTAAATGTGTCTTTACTATATGAACCCTCTTGAATTATAGTGACAGACTTGTTGATATGGAAATGAATTAAGAAATTTACATTCCATCCGCGCTATTTGAGAAACAATTTC